TATTATTATTAATAGGAGATCTATATTGGTCCATTTCGGCCCATTTCGCTCCATTTCTATCCATTTCTATGTTTAATAGGACCGGATGCTAAATGCTGTAGCACGCACCAGCAAATGTGCCAGAAATCCTGAACAGGATACCTTTTAATAAAAATACTAAAATTTTCTACATATTTTTGTATAACAAATAATTAAAAAATGTTTGAACTAGGAATAACCCACCGAAAGTCTTGATTCGGCAGAAATTTTCCTAATTTGCACTTGCAGACGAATTTTCAATCTTCGTGGAAGCCGCCATTTTCCAAAATGTGATATCGAGGCTATAGGTGCATTGATATCTTTTAGCAAATGATTTGTATTTGAGTTTATTTGAAACTTTGTACTCCAGTAGTCCACTTCAAACATTTTATATGCATGTTTGGTGTCTCTTAAGATAACTAGTGTAAGATTTAACTTTCTTATTACGAAAATGTGCTAATAGTGGGAACTATTTTAATGCGGAGAGAACAAGCTCCAGGCGTTATTTGAACTGTAAACAATATGGTTGCCACCGTTCAAAGTTGCCGATGTATCAAAGAACTTTAATTGCCCTCACCAACTATGGGTCCATAAATTCATGTTACAGAAGGTGAAAGGTGCGTGAAGTGTTTAGGAGCTGAGGCATTTTTACTTAATTTCAAAATGGATGCGGATAAAGATGCCGCGCACCTTGCAGCCAAATTGTCGACTTTTTTGGAACAGCAACTTCAAGGGTTTGAGAAGAAGACGAAGATATCAAGACAGAAGAAATCAAGAAGTGCACCCATCCTCGGCCACATAGACCCACTCCCTAAACCAAAGGCAGATAGAGCACGGCCCATAAAGCCACACGAGGTAATTTATACTTGTGTTAGTGGTATGTGACATCGCTTGTATTGGAACTGTGTACAAGTAATTAAGCCCGTCAACAGTGCAGCTTACTAGTATATGTCTCCCGTACACTCATGTTTGCCAATGTGATATTTTGCTTTTCTGCGACCTGTCTTTACAAAAGATATAAATTCTAATTGCAACATAAAAAGGTGCACAAATACTGGAGAATGAAACTACAGCTAGAATATCTAGTCATGTTTTGAAAGGTTAAAGCGATAATAACTCTTCCTTTGAGATTCAAAATTCCGCATGAAATACATTGTAAACAACGCATGGAAATATATTCTATTGTATTTTACCACTAAAACGGCCGTTATTGTAGTAAAACTAAAATCTGTGCTTGTCAATGGGGCTTTCGATGCTTTTCTTCCCAGTCATCAAGGCATTCGTTGCTAATGACGTAATGGTGTCACGCGGATTCTCGCGTTCATTCGAGACCAAAATAACATGGCGCCAAACGCATTAATGCGGACGCAGACGTAAGTTGCGAGTTTTTGTACAGTGCGTC